CAATTCACGTAGCCGTTTGGATCAGAGAGGCAGAAACTGTAGGAGCTCTCAGGTGAGCTTTTCAGTTCAAATGCACAAATGCTTGCTAAGCATTATCTTAGGACTGCAGAAAACCAGCAGAACCAGACAACAATTTTGTGCCTCCAGCTTCAAGATGGGAAAACACCCGATTTTGACTGGCGTGCCATTTAGCTGAAAACAGAGGCCCAGGCTTTGAAGAAGGCATCTTCCAGCTCTTGCAAACCGTGAGAAACGGGACTCAAACCCAGACCTCAATGCCATGATCATCATCTCTTTAGCTCAACTTCTAAGTCTTTCCCTGGTTTCAATGCCAAACTAAACTCAATTTTAGCACTCCGCCTGCACACACACACGCACACACACAAATTTTATGCTACCCTGTACCTTCCCTAATTTTTGCATGAGAGGGATTATCTTTCAACCTGCTATAAAATCTGTCTATCTGCTACAAAAACATCCATATGTAAACTACATGTTGCACCTTAAACCCAGCATACTCTTACCGTGTTGACCGGAGCGGCTGTTTTCCAGCCCTAACCCTAACTTACATTATTATTTTAGGACTGCAACAAAGTTCCAACCTTTACAGTGTTCTGAAGTATAGCCTAGCCTATTTCTTTTACTGAATCAAAAGGATTTAATCAAAAACACAAGGACTATTGATGTATCTCAGATCCTGGATCCTTTTTAGTGGCGTCATGCAGTCAATTTCCCCTTTTAAGTCAGTGCGGTTTTGCTATTTTGCATCGGCTGTATACTTATTATAGTCTTATAGTTAATATTATTTAAGCCTAAATTCACAAACAAAGGTATTCTTAGTGATGAGATGAAGATTTATCCACTTGCAACAAGTGATAGCACCCAGCTGGCCTTGCATGATTTTATATATAAAAAAAGGAAGTGGGATTCGATTTGGTTAATTTTTGGATGGGAAATCACTAGAAAATCTCAAAACTATAGGCTAAATCCAGAAGTTGGAAAAATACAGTTATGGCAAGCTACTTCTGAATTTTTGCCAGGAAACCAACATGGCTGTGGCATCATCCCCATATCCAGAGTTGAACTCAATTCACGCTTCCCTCTTATACATTATTTATTGCTCTTCACTGCTGATAAAGTAATCGCTATTGAAATATTCCTGAAGTTTTCTACGAAGACTAGATTTAAGGAGAGTCTCTTTCTACTATCATTTCTTTTAATGTCAAGGCAGAATTATTTAGCAATTCTTAAGAAGCTAATAGTTGCTGATTTCACTTTCTGAAGACATTATACAGGTGAACAAGATAAAAAGAGAGAGGAAAAGAAGAAGAATAATTGTGGGAGACTCTGAGGGTGTGCCATTTCTAAGGAAATTGGCTGGGGAGAAACACTATGTGAGCAATCTGAATAATTTCAGTTTGCTTGCAATCTAGAGAATGAAATGAGAGGGTTACAGTTTTAATTTTTAGAAGCAGATTTAACGAAGAAACCCCAAGAAAATATGATGCTCATAAGTTCATCTACTGAACCCTACAGGAAGTTTTGTTTATACACCTGGTGCTCCTTTACAGAGAAATAAACGGAACAGGATGCAAGGCAATACGAATATATTAAAAACATTTTATCATTTGTTCCCAAGGACACACATTACAACCAATACTCAGGGTGGCTTGGAGTATTGACAGACACCTTAGCCAGTCAACCTTCTCCGGTTCTGAGATGACAAATAAACAGAACACACCCCAACTAGTTTTCCAGAAATCTGTTCGTGTGTAAAAGCAACCCCGTATTAATAACGGAATCAGAAAAGTTCCAATTTGACGTAGCCACGAATCTGTATGCAAGGAAAAAACCTGTTTGGACGCTAACTTTCTTACTCCCACGATGTGGTTTTAGAGCTGCATTTCTGCCTCCATCCCTGAAAAACGTAGCAGCATCGGGAAGCTGCAGGGACTGAACCGTAGAAATAGAAACACAAACAAAACATGATTTACAGCCAGAAATTGCAGAAGCTTCTTGGCACAAGTTTATGAGCAGCATGCCTGATCCTCCAACGCCAAAGGGACTGACGGAGAGCAAGAAGCAACAGCAGCAGAAGCAGCTGGCACTACCTACAAAGAGAACAATTCAAAGCCACCACTTTACCTTCGGAGAAGTCTATCAGTCCAAGCAAGTGCAGCAGCTTCAGAGATGCAAAGATTATCACAACAATGCCCACTGTTTGCAGACCCTCCGATTCCCATTCCAAAGTCAACATTGTCCCAGATGGCGTTTCATGCCAATCAGCTGCCAAGCCACCACACAGTCTAAAGGAAAGTTTAAGTCACTCTAACCGGGGGTGGGGTTGTTGTTGTTTTTTTTGCCTCCCATGCAAAAAAAGTTGCCAGCACAGCCAGAAAGGAAATTAGGTGACCAGGCAGGTGCTAGCTGATACCCCTGGTCTCCTGCATCCTGATGCTTTGGGATGCTAATTGTGACCTCGTCACCAGAAAAAAAAGGCATCCGACACCACCAGCCTTCTTATTTCTCCGCTGCTAGGAGGGCATTCGTCCCGGATTTCCAGACTGCAGTATTTGTTTGGAAAAGAGCAAGACTGCTTAAAGGAAGAGGCATGAGCGAGCAGACCGAAGCGCCAGCCTTCAATGACAGGTCAGGCGCTCGCAGCTCCTGCTTTACGGCTCAGCTCCCGCTGAAAAGAACAGCCCTTCGGAGCTTGTCAGAGATCAGATTAATCATCGGATGCATTTGCATCTTTGTCGTTAATGGTTTTAATTTGCAGGCTTTGGATCAACACCAGAAGTTTCCTCTTCTCACTGGAACACAAGGGACACCCCTCCTGTCTCTTGGCAGAGGGCATTGTCTCCATGAAATCCCTGTCTCTAAACATTCCAGAAATGAAAGGGCAGAAGAATTAAAGCACCAGTTGCATCCAAGGAAAGAAACGACGTGGCTTGTATTGTCAACTTAGATATCTGTCCTAAAAAGGGGGAAAGAAAATGGGAAAAAAGGGCAAAACCCAAAGTTGCTTTCTCCAAGAGTTTCCAACTGGACTTTCTGTTTTTTCTTTGAAGACGTTTCGCTTCTCCTCCAAGGAGCTTCTTCAGCTCTGACTGGTTGGTGGGGAATGGAAGGATTTGCACTCCTTGCAGACAGAGCTGGTCATTTGCATCCTTTTAGAGAGTCCTTGAGGCCACTTGGAGGTTCCTCTGTGTCTTCAGGGTGCTTTTTTTCAAGAGACAACTGGACTTTCTGTTTTTTTTTTTTCTTTGAAGACAATTTGCTTCTCATGCAAGAAGGATTTATGTTCCTTGCAGGCAGTCATTCCCCAGAGCTAAAGAAGCTTCTTGGATGAGAGGTGAGACACCTTCAAGGAAAAACAAGGAAGCCCAGTTGCCTCTTGAAAAAGCACCTTTGGGACAACTGGGACCTGGGTGACGGAGAACCTCCATAGGTAAAAAGGGCAAAAGTTCCTCCAATCCAAGAAGCAAAGCGCATTTAATAAAGGGCTTTGCTAAGCACTTTCTTGAATCGCCCTGAAAGAAGCTGAAGTTTTGAGACAAAGCAAGAGCAACTCCAGGTTTTCTTATGGGTCTCCTATTGCTATTTTGCCGGCATAAAATGCACAGCTGAACCCTTAGGGCCATGGAAAGGAAGCAAACAAGCTTGCAGGTTGACTATCATTACAAAAATAGGGTGAGATAAAATATAAAACACATTTTTGTCTTTTTTCAATTGAAGCTAGGAACTGAATCATCAAATGGACACAGAGAATTCCAATTCCTTTTTTAAAGGCACAGAGCACTGCAAATTGCAAGAAAAAAAAGAATCTTGGAAGGAAAAAGGATGACACCCTTTATCTGTGCTAAAATTAGAATAGTTTTTTTTTCTAATGGGGATTACAAATGGTCATGTTTCCATATTTAAACGGGAGTGAAAGACTGGCTGCATTGGCACACAAACACAGTGGGAAAATGGTGACAAGCCAACCCAAATCCACGTATGGATAAAAAGATTGCCAAGGTTAAATCGGCCGAGGGAACCCAATTCATAAATGTTTCTTGTGGGAGTTTCTAATGAAGACGATGTTACAAGCCCAGCTGTGAACAATTCTGGTATGGAGAAACATATGGACGGCAGAAAACCAAGCCAGGGGTAAGGACCAAAAAGCGAAGGGAAAGTGTGAAGCCAAAGGAGGATTCACACAAGAAATGGTGACAAAACAAGAATACAACCGTCAGGTCAGAAACTGTACAATTGTGAAGGATACGATGGAACTTTGAGACTGATGTGTTATTTCAAAAGAAGTCTTTACCGTTTAAGAACAATTTGACAGTGGATCTAGCCATAAGCATTTCTTTTTCAGTAGACCTCTTGATGTGAAGATCAGATAGCCTTCTCCTTCCTAAATTTCATCTGTATTCCTGTAGTAGGACAAGAGTTGGACTCCATAATATCGGATTTGATGGTTCTGTTTCAGGTTATCTGGAATTTTTTCACCCCAAAACTAAATACTTTATGTGTCTACTCCCAAAGGATCCCATGTTCAATGAGATTCATGATTACATTAATGCAAACATTATGGCAACTCTATCCCCATTGAAATAACTTACCAGCTTAATAACCTCAAACATGACTTGCTTTGAGTCTCAGATATGAACAGAGTAGTTGAGCGCCCCTCCAACTGTAGGTGGGGATGTCAACCACCCCCATCACATCTGCTGTAGGCAGCACAACGTTTTTGTGTAGCCCTGGTTACAAAGGATTATTTATATTTTTTTAAAAATGATTTTGCCTCTTCCACCCAACCTTGATTTATTTTATTGTCATTCATCTTCCTGTTATATTTGTTACTGAACAAAAGCAATAACAAATGAAGCCATGCCAGGGCTGAGACCAGGCAAGCTATTTAAGAGAATAACAGAGTTGGAAGGGACCTTGGAGGTCATGTAGTCCAACCCCCTGTTCAAGCAGGAGACCCTAGGCTATTTCAGACAGTCTCTTCTCAAAAACCTCCAGGGAGCATTCACAGCTTCACAACTTCTGAAGGTGAGCCATTCTACTCAGTGGTGGGATTCAATTTTTTTTACTACCGGTTCTGTGGGCGTGGCTTGTCTTGATGGGTGTGGCTTGGGGTGAGCGTGGCTTGGTGGGTGTGGCAGGGGAAGGATACTGCAAAACCCCCATTACCTCCCCACCCCCACTAACCTGCTTTCCGGCTCCGTTCTCCTGTGCAAAGCAACAAAAGAAGACCCAGCTGATCAGCTGGGACTCAACGGGAGGCAGAGAAGAGATGGGGGTTGGAGGGCCAGTCAGAGGTGGGATTGGCCGGTTCTCCGAACTACTCAAAATTTCCATAACCAGTTCTCCAGAATTGGTCAGAACCTGCTGAATCCCACTTCTGCTTCCACTGATTGATTGATCTAATTTCTCCTTAATTCCAGGTTGCTTCTCTCCTTGATTAGTTTCCATTCCTTGTTTCTTATCCTGCCTTCAGGGGCTTTGGAGAATAGGCTGACCCACAAGAGACCTGATGTCCACCAAGAAGAACATGAGATGGTTGCATCCAAATTGGTGGGATTCAATTTTTTTTTAATACTGGTTCTGTGGGTGTGACTAGGTGGGTGTGGCCAGGTGGTCATGTGACTAGGTGGGTGTAGTTATGTGGCATTTTTTCCCGTTTCACAGCATGCCTCTGTGCCCTGTTTTTTTGCCTCCTGGGCCTCAGGGAAGCCTCCTGGCGAAGTAAGAACAACAGTGAGTAGGGGGAAATCAGCTGTGCCATGTGATTTAGATTAGCTAGAAAGCAAGAAATCCGATGATTTCCTGCTTTTTAGCTAATCTAAATCACAGCTGATTGTTGGAAATACCAGTTCGGCTGAACCGGTAGCGTTTTTTGTTTTTTTTAATACTGGTTCGCTTGAACCGGGCTGAACCGGTAGAATACCACCACTGGGGACAGACCATCCTGGAGGAAACCTCTCTGTGTGGGGCTATTAAGCATTTCCACTAACTTGACGGCACAGAAAGTGTTGTAATGACGAGGCAGTCGAGTTGCTTGATCATGATCAACTGAATCATGATGAACTTTATTGGAGTCTAGTCTTGCATTTATACACATTTTTAATAATCCTCCAACATTGGTTAACTTTGGTTACTGCTTAACTTTCATTACTGTTTAGCATAATAGTAATTAACACAATTAATTATCTCTAGTTAAAGTCTAACATATGTTTACTTCCTCTCTCTAATCCTCCTTTAGATTAGTGACTTTGTTTGCCTGAGTTGTATTTGCTTGGAAACATTCTTTATCTGAGGTTTGCCATCCAAGATAGGAACACTCCTGAAATTACAACTCTACAAGAAAGAAGCCATCAATTTCACACGCATGTTTCCATTTAAGTTTTGTGAGCCACCCAACAATATTTCCCAATGGTGCATGACTTATAATTTATTAAATATATTTCTCATTCCCCACCACCACCCTGCCCTACTGTTACAAGGGGCAAGAAGAAGAGGAAAAAAAACTCACTGACTCTCCGGTCCGAATCTCACTGCTTGCTCTAATTGGAAGCAAAGAGTCACTTCTTAAATCAACACAATCCATTATGCCCTATTCAGCTAAAGCAAATCAAACGGACACTGACCTACTTTTCTTTGTTTGGAACCTCGTTAATTGGGTCTCCAAAAGGCGAGCATTGATACTCACTCACCCACTCTCTCTGTGCAACCCCCCATTCCTAGATAAGCCAAAATTAACTTCCCAAAGTTGGTCCACGGTCTTTCCTTCCCTCCTTTGCAAAGAAAAGAGGGGGACTTTAAGAGAAGACACAAATCACTGCTCTGGAGAAGCTTTGAGACAAGGTTTCTGTAGCGGGAGAGAGTTAAATTTCTCCATTGTTTTCCTAGGGGATTCATAACAAAACTGAGAAAGTTTCACAAAACCACCTGATAGTCAGGAAGATATTTTCTTTCCCAGAAGTGGAGAAAAAAACTCTTACAAAATTTTGATGACCTCCACAGAACAGGATCCCATTAAGAGTTTTATGTTCTCACACTAAATTTCACAGTGTAGTCAAGAAAAGGAGTGGCAGAGACCAGAGGCAGAGTCAAAAGAGGAATCAGTCCAGAATCTCTGTGTTTCCACAAGTAGACTAAGCCCAACCCCTGTTGAATTCCATTAACCCTTCTCCAGCACCAAAATAATAAATAAATAAAAATAATAATGCTAACCATTAACTGACTATATTTCCATACATA